GTGGGTGCGGAGGGGCGGCGAGGCCGGGCCGGGAAGATGCTGTTGTCCCTGGTGCTGCACACCTACTCCATGCGCTATGTCCTGCCCGCCGCCGTAATGCTGGGCACCGCGCCCACCTACGTGCTGGCCTGGGGCGCCTGGCGCCTGCTCTCCGCCCTGCTGCCCGCCCGCTTCTACTGGGAGCTGGATGACCGGTTCTACAGCATCTACCAGAGCATGGTGCTCTTCTTCTTCGAGCGCTACACCGGCGTGCAGGTGAACCCCCGCGCCTGGCACCGGGAGTGGGCAGCGAGCAGAGCGGGGGGCCGAGTGGGCACCAAGGGGTCTGCACTTGGGGCCACTGCCAGCCAGCTGCTACGTGGAGGGCACAGGATCTGTGCTGGGGCTCGTGAATGCACCCGTCGCCGCCGTGTTGCTTGGGTGCCGAGCTGTGCCACTACATGAACTGCTCAGACTGAGCCAGGTCATCCCGTGTCAAGCGTTTGTTGTACCTAAATAGACATACATTAGGCAGAGTAGTCTCAGTGAGATCAGAGTACCACGAAGGCAAAGAAAATATACTTAGGCCACTGGCTATCCACAGACCTAGCCCTCTGTTTGCACAACCTCTCAATTCAAATCTTCTTGTCACTCCCTTCCTATGTTCTTGTCTGGGTTTTACAGCTAAGCAAGCTGCCTTTAATTGCAGCCACTTGACCTTGAAACCCGTGAGCTGCAGCCTTGGAAATCGGTGATAAAACTCCTACAGACTTCTCATTTCTGTAGGCTCTGGCTTTTCTTTTGTAAGCTGGGGTAGAGGTCTGACCCTCTTATTTTGCAAAGAATCATCACAATAAGTTTATCTGGCACTTTTCATTCACAGCTGTAAAAGTGCTTTAAAAGGAAGACCAATATTATTATGTTCATTTTACAGATATGGAAACTGAGGCAAAGAGACATCTGCATAATAACATTGTGGAATCCAGACGCGCTCTCCCCTTTTAGTGTTTTTAACAACAGAACCATGCTGTCTCTTTTGCACAATCACCATACTAGGTAATAAAATAATAGACAGGAGTAAGGCAAACAGGATTAATGAAACTACTAGAAATGACTGTTGCTACCCAAAGAAAAACCTGTGACCTTCCTTGAGTTCTTTGCAAATAGTGGCTTCAAACATATTTGTAGTATTGAATGATCACTATGAATATATCTTGGGTTATATAAAGTTGTTCGTGTCTGACTTGTGTTTCAAGTTAGACTTTTTCTATTATCACTTGGTTCATAGTAGAAGGAGTGTTAAAGGGGTACCTTTGAGTTAAAATAAAATGTAAAAATTAATATATTGTTAATAATAATAACTTCAATTATTACAACCAATGAAAGTAAGCATAACTTCCCAATATTCATACTGCTCATTTTCCTAAGTTCACTGAAGTTAATTGGAGCAGTGATTTCTAGTAGCTCTGAATTCAGGTTCAAGATCTCAAGGTAGAAACCCAGAATTGGAGGCCTCTCTTGCAAGTTTCAGCCTGCTCTTTCACCTATCAATATCTGTATGTGTGCACATAACTATACAGGCAGTCCCCGAGTTACGCGAATCCGACTTATGTCGGATCCGCAGATACGAACGGGGATTTTCTCGCCCCAGAGGACTGGAGTGGCGGGACACCTGGTCCCGCCGCCCGCCTCCTTCGGGGCGAGAAAAGCTGCTCCCCGTCTCCCTGGTCTGCTGGGGGACCCAGCAGACCAGGGAGACGGGGAGCAAAGCAGCGGAGGACCCGGGGCTGGACCCGCAGCCACTTCCAGATCAGCTGGAAGCACTGCCGGGCCCGCCGGGCCCCCC